CCCCCCCCCCACAGACCCAGCCCCTCCCCCCAAGAGCCCCCCATCCAATGCACTCACCCCTCCCCCTGAACCAGGCCCTCCCCAGCACTGGGAGTGCCCCCCCCATCAAATCCTCTCCCCACCCTCCACAGAGCCAGGCACCGGAGGAATGGGACGGCTGGGTAAGGAAATCTAACCTTTAAAGCGGCCGCTCCTGCTGCCTCAGCTCGCAGTGTGTAGAGAGCCAGGAGTACGAAGCCCAGCTCCTGGATCTCTGTTCAAAAGTGTCACATGGGCCAGTGTGTGCTTCACTCCCACCGCAGCCTGGCTCCCCCTCAGCATGGTTCCTGGGGGCAATGTCCCCCACCCCACCTTCGCTACACCTCTGTCAGATTTATTATGTTTGTATTAACCACTTTTAATCATACTCATTCATATAGGCAGCTATAGAGCTGTACATTTTGGAGATTAACATGCTTTGGCTCCAGCATAAAACACCAACAGCGTCCAGACCCCACAGCAGAGCAGAAACTAAATGGCTTCTGCTATTGCACTCCCATAAGCTTTCTACCACAAAGTGTCTGCAAGCAAGATTCCACTAGTGGGAATTAATTTGGATTTGAATTTATTTTCTAGTAAGGAATTAAGTATTTACTAGTTAGATGACTTTAAAGAAATAGTTGCTAACAAGATAAAAGGATACTGCAAACAAATAAATTGATTGCACAGTTAGAAATAGCTAACCACCAGCCAGCACACACTTAGGAGCAATTACTTATATTAATCATTAGTTTAGATTTATTCTTTTAACAAAACGCTGTTTAAATATGATCCACAATATGTCCCAGACTGTAGTTACATTGCCAGTTTGGAATTATTTTCCTCCCACCATGATATTGTGGGTTTTTGGAGACTGGATGGGGGGGGAGGGGGGAGAAGAGGGGGGGGGAGAGAGAGAGTGTGTGAGTGAGTGAGTGAAAGTAAAATGATGATCCTTATTCTAGAAGCAAAAATAGGTGTTTGTATAATGTAGCTTATTACTATAGTACTTCATTATTAGGGATTTACAATCCAATCATATCCATGTTACAAGGTTTCCTTTACGTTTACTGTATAACATGATGAATAGAGATGTTTAGGACTAACTATTTCATAAACAAGAAATGAAACTGTTCCAATTCAGAATCTTTCACATAAAACAGATGCTATGTAATAAATGTCTTTGTTTTGGGTAACTTTATAGGGATGACATCTGTTTGACGAGATGGCTTCCCTACTACAGCAGTGTCACAATTCGACTGTAAATTATATTTGAAATAATTTAAGCTTTCCAAAATATAATTTAACAAAAATTTAAAGAGAAATGTTTTCACTCAAACCATATTTCCAGCTTCAATTGGGGGAGAGGGATAAGCCATCTAAAATGAATGTCCTTACCATTTCTACAAAATGTAAAAATGAGTATAAATTATTAAAACAATTTTGTAGTAAATTTAAATCAGGCCCAGCTTCCTGAATAGAAGTTACTAGCAAAGGAATTATAAAAATTAAACCCTTAATATGCAAGAATTGCACCAGATTTTTTTTGAAGTGTAAGATTTTAAAAGATTATGAGCAGTTTTGGTGTTTTCATTTTTTGGGTTTTCAACAGAAACATCTTAAATGGGGCCTAATTCTCTAGAAGAGATATAAAGCACCTTCTGGAAATCAGGACCCTTGCAGGTTTCTCAACTGGGAATCAAAAATTGTGGCATCCAAAATCATTAGTAAGTTTTTAAAACCTCAGATTAAACAACTGTAAACATTGATAATGGCAATATTCACAGCTGTGCAAACATTTGTATCCAAAGCAAAACCAGGAACACTTATTTTCCATCATTTCTCCAAAAATGCTCATGCTACTCCTTTGAAAAAAGATGACTGTTCATGAAGAATGCTTTTTCTTCTACAAAGGAGCTATTCCTGTATGTCCATGTCCCACCAAAAACAAACACCCCCCCTTCCTCAACAAACAAAAAACCAAAACACAAAGCCCCTGCAAAACTCACCTGGCATATTATTATATATGCTTAAATTCTTGCTGGCTTCCAGGATAGCAAAAAATAGCTAACATGGGTAATTTTATTCAGTGCCAGTGATATAAATAACTGATTTTTCTGGTACTGCATGTTTAGCGTCACAATAAGAATAAGCATAGATTACTATGAATACTATGGGACTAGGAGCCAGGAACTATAGTTCTAACTATAATGCTGACACTCACCACGTGACTTTGGGCAAATTACTAACAGCCTATACTTGCTCACATTGAGCAGTATCTTTCTCCATCAATGGTCCAACTGATTTCCATGGTAATACTTTTGTCATTACTAAACACGAGTAAGGGTGACAGAACTGGGCCATTAGCTACTTCGCTGTTATACATATAACAACAGCAACTAGAAGGCTTAACTGAGATCTGTGTCCCATTGTGCTAAGTGCTATATCTCCAAAAAGCTTACAAAATAGATGCAAAAGATGAAACAACAATGATAGAGAAAACAGAATGCTTTATTTATCCCCCCCCCCATATATTTTTACCTAGCATACTTAACTGTTGTTATGATTAATGGTTGCACAATGCACACAATGCAAATACTTCAAATTATTTTATTGTATGTCATTCATGGGCAGGTCCATGCGAGTGTGCTTATTTGATGATGTTCCCTAATTCTTAAGCTATTTGAAAGCCATTTAAATAAAAATCCTTTTCCACATTCAATAAGCAAATTAAAAAAAACAAAACTTAAAAATCAAAGAACATTAGACCATAAAAGACTGTCCTCGGAAGTCTTTTTTGATATTTTAAAAAAAGTGTTCTCTCAGTGCACACACACAAAAAGATCTTAACTGGTGAAAGACATTGCTTGTCAAATGCTGATCAGATATGTAAAAACCATGCAATTTCCCCAAGCTTTGTCCTCTGAAAACCCCACACACATTTAGGCTGAGCATAAGTATGACAATTTTCTGCATAATGGAAGTTTTGAGAAACATAAGTTCACAAATATAACTCATTGGTAGCAACATATTTGACTCTTCACTGCCATCTTACATAAAAATATATGCATACAGTACCTTCTCTTTCATCTGCCTCACTGGAAACCATTAGTTTGTTAGATGTCGCTGTTGAGAGCAGATCTGGAAGACTATGTTGTTCTCGCTCATGATTTCGCAACTGACTCTGTAAACAAAAAACAAAAATCACTTTTCCCTAAAATATTATAAATTCTATACATACATAGCAGTATATCCTGTTGCAGTAATTTGCAAAGATATTTTTTATGTTAAAAAATTATGTTCATTTTAGCTCAGACAGATTTGCAGAATGCCTCAGTTAACTAACTGTACTACATAAAAAATGCAAAAAATGGTATTAAGGTGACAACTCAATTAAAATGTTTTTCACTTTTTTAAAGAGTAGACATTAGATATATGATATTAGATGGCAAAAAAGATTTTAAAAAGCAAAATTGATCATTAGAAAAAAGTGACCTGTTGGAGTAAATATCAGTTATTCTAAATGTAAAATAATTTTAAGATTAAACACTGATTCACATTCAGATATAGTGGTATACTACAATTTTTAAAAAATAACAACATTCTAATCAGAAAAAAATATTTTTAATGAAATGAGGGGGATAGGAGGGAAACAGGAGAAAAGAGGACTTGGTTGCTCAGGTTACTGGTAACAGAATACAAAAGCATGCATCTGACAAAGTGGGTCTTTGCCCACGAAAGCTTATGCTCCTACACTTCAGTTAGTCTATAAGGTGCCACAGGACTCCTCGTCGCTTTTGCAGATTCAGACTAACACGGCTACCCCTCTGATACAGAATACAAAAGCAATCACAGGTTCAAATGTGGACTAGGCCAGTAAAGCCTACATAACAGTTTCTACTGGTCATGATAAAAACTCTCATCAGTTCTGGAGGTGATGTACTTTAATCTAAATGTCATCCTTCCAAAGTAGGACTGAACAGGACAAGCGGGCAAGTCTGCACTGCCATTGCCTGTGACGATCCCAGTTGTGTGAATGACTACAGTTACCAGTGCTATTAATACCTTTTCATAAGCACTACATTCACATATAAAAGCATCTTCCAGCCGCATTAATGTGTTAAACCAAGAGGCTAATGCTATGATTGTGGAACAATAGTCAGCTCTAGCAGATAATTTTTCAAATTTGGTCCTCGGTATAATATCTGTTCCATGAGGCAACAATAGAATGAGAAATGTTCATTTCTTGACAGATTTTTTCTGAGCTAAAGTTTCTAGAAGAACAATCTCTGGTCTTGTGCCCACTCCCAATGAGGGATCATGTTTGCATCCCCTCTGGAAGTTTTTTAGGTTATCTAGATTATGCCCTCCAAATGCTTCCATTTCTTCCTGTTATTGCTACAGGTTGCCAGGCCAGCAGTAGGGCATTAATGGGTCAATATGACGACTCAGTATTTTTCACAAAGAAACACAGGACACATAGGAGAATAAATACCTTGAAGCTGCAAGACATGTTGCAAGACTAAAAAAATGTTAAGAGTTGCTCTAATAGTATTCATTTGTACTAACACTGCAGACAAGAGACCATATGTTGATGAGTCCTATGGCTAAGTTTAGTTAAAAGTAGCAATAAAAACAGCAGCAAACAGTTAAACTAGAAAGATGCATAGGAAATAACTTCACCTTGTAATGGAAGGATTCTTCACACTGCTTGCATTGATACATTCTGGTTTTGCAGTGGTTGATCATGTGGCTTTCTAAATCTTTACTATTGTCAGCTATATGCTCACAGATAGGACACTGGTATGGTTGTCTTTGACGATGGACTCTCAAATGTTGTTTTATGTAGCCTTTATTGCCACTGCTATAATGGCATAGACGACATCGGTATGGCCGATCTACATTAGGTATGTACTCTACCAGGTTACTTCCAGGCACGTTCATGTCATTTGGAGGTTGGCATTGTGCATTGTCCTGTAATTCTTTCAAAATATCATCATCAGAAGCATTCTGATCTGTCCTTTCTCTCAATTTTTCAATTACTGTGAGCAGTGACATACTAATGCCCATTTTAATTGGCGCTTCTGATATCTCCGGTTTGTCCTTCTGTAGCTCCATTATTGCACAGTCACTTTGGTTTAAGCTACTTAATCCTTCTGGAGGATTTTTAAGTGAGGATACCATTTTAGAATGGGCTGCACAAGTGCCATCTGTCTGTCTTTGTCCTGTATCTGCATCTAAAGAGTTTACTGCAGCAAAGGCCCTAAAGCTGGATCTTGTTAGTTCTGCAGCTCTGATAGGCATTGTAACAAGAGCTTCTGCAGCTAACGAGTGCAGCCTCAAAGACTCTGAATTTGTTCTTCTTCGTACAGGAGGGGCATTTTCATCAGCTACAATACCTTTATTAGAGATTAAATCATTATCTTTTTTTTCACTATTACTCCATCCTATTATCACTTCTTCAATTTCATCTGAGTGATAAACTTCACCAGATCCTTCACACACAACCTGGGACTCCTCTGAGATTAATTTTTTCTCAGCTTCAATGTCTGTGTTCATTAAGAAAGGTTTCTGTAAAACAGTTTCTTCAGCACTTGGCAAGCGTTCTACTATTACATTAACATGGCCCTTCTTATTTGGGCTACAGTTAATTATTTTTTGTGCTGATGAAAGTAGGCTATCAGTTATCAAATTATCTTGCTCTGTTTCTGTATCCGATACGGTTTCCTCCAGCAGTTCTCCAGTAGGGGAAAAGGCTGTTGGTTGACTTAGGACCTCTTCCTCTTTTACGTTTGCTTCCACCAGAGGTGACTTACATGACACTTGCTCAGAGCTACAAATCTGGAGTTGAAGAGAATGGTCACTATTGATGTCCAATTCATTATTTTCTAGAGCAAGAACAATTGTATCCCCACTATGAGGGTTATGAGTTACAGTTGCATCTGACAAAATAGTCTCATTTTCTTCAAATATAGGATAGGAACAATCAACTTCACCTGCATGTTTCCATGCATGTGTTTTCAACATTCTTTGCTGACCACAAGTGTAGCTACAAATTAAGCACCGGTACATGCCATACTGCTCATAAGTATACCATTTTCTCTTACCCATTTCAGCCACAGGAGTAGACTGAGTAATATCTTTACAGTCCAGATTTACTGTCCGATCAGTGCCTGCTTTGACTATTCCTTCCACAGGCCCTTGCAAAGATGAAGTTGAAAGAGTTACACATTGTTGCACTGTTGACTGGATGTGGTTTTTGCCATCATTCTCATGGTGAATTCTAACATGAACTTCAAGTTCTTCTTGATTTTTAGAAGCAAAATGGCATTCGGAGCACATTAATATCACTTCATTCTGTTGACCATGTTGCTTTATATGTTCTTGTAGACTAAAAAGAGATGGTGACAGAAACTTACATAGACTACATTGGTAGCATATAACCTTTCTTTTACTTTGTGGAAGACAACTGGTTACATAATCTGCTTGTAGCTCATCAGTCTTTTTAATGCCAATAACAGGCAGCATCATTGTTTTAGCTGGAATCGCACAAAGATCTTGTGTTTCAAAAGATGGTGTAGAAGCATTAGGATGGGAACGTTTTTTCCCTATTAAAAGGCATCTCTGTGATTTTTCACTTTCTACTATCTTGCTTAATTTCTGGATAACATGTATTAGAGGATCAGTTTTACATTTTCTATGATCTTCGTTGCTTTCCAGTGTTGAGCCAATGACTGTTTCAGAAATCAGTACAGCTTCCTGTTCCCCGACATTTGGCACCAGTACAGCAATACTGCTTCCCTCTTCCATAATATCTGAAAAAGTATTATGAAATGAAACGAAACGAAACATTAGCTTACCTTAATAAGCACAAAGACAGAAATATATGTAGTCACTACTGACAAATACTAACTTCTTAATTCTACTAACAATGGTAGCCTAAATTTATTAACAATCTAATAATAATCTCCCAGTTTTAGACAGAAAAAAAAATCAGAAGCCTGGGAGTATACACACAGCATTTTGGATATCATGTTGCATTTTGACTGAGCACTTTTTCATGTTAGCCACCATTTAAGTGCCTCAAACCACAAAGTTCTAGAGTGGTAGAGTGAGCTGCTGATTTTACCAATGGGTAAGCTGGCTTATATTGATGTGGATATTGTCTATTTCTTCACCATGATCACCACCACCTGAACACTAGAAACTCTACCTAAAACACTAACTTTAAATGAATCCAGTACATTTAAATTCAAAAAGTAAGTTTCACCATGGCAAGAAGACCTACTCTTTTATACTAAGTGTATCAATTACAGTTTCTGCTGAACAGACAAAGTCTTCTGAAGTAAATGTAGGTTTGTAACAAAATACTTCAGAACAGAGCTAAAATTTTGGCATGAAATGGTTCTACCATCATTACCTGTATTAATCATTTTGCTATGACTTTACTCATTAAGATAGAATAAAAAAAAATCACCCCTATTTCTCAGCACAAAACCAACTTTCTAAGATAGCAAGCCAATATTTGCTGAACTGTAAAGCTCTACTGGCCGCGAGCATTTCCGAACAATCACTTTCTGTGTTTTGAAAATTATATAGTTCTGGAAGCTGAAGGCAATAACCGTTTCCCTTTTTACTTCCTTTAAAAACATTAACCATAAAAACCACAGACGAGAATGTGGTGTGGCCACAGGTTAAATTTGTGGCCACATTTAAGCACAAATATGGTTTGAGACTGTTAACTGGGAGAAAAAAATCAGGAATGGAAAAATGCAGCATAATGTTTATAATACAATACACTTATCGTGGAGTTCTTCTCTGAAAAGTAACTAAAAAGCATTTGAGTTCCACAGTAAATATGCTCAATTTACAGTTAGAAATGTATTTCTGTTAACCAGCAGTCGGGATGGGAGGTGGAGTGCAGGAGAGGGTGAAGTCTGGATGAGAGCCAGGGTGCAGGAGCAAGGTGGAGTAGGGTGTATGTCTGGGGGAGGAGGGGAAAGAAGAGCAAGGGTGGCTGCAAGAGCAAGGGTGGCTGCAGGAACAGGCTGGGGTAGGGTGTCTGGCCAGGAGTGAGGGTGCAGGAGCAAGGGAGGGTGGAGGAACAGGCTGGGAGCCAATTGTGTGTCTGACCACGGCAGGGGGTGTAGGAGCAGGCTGGAGGTGCGGGGTTTTGGTGG